AGACTACTGTTTTAATTGTGCAAAGGCCCTCCTGGCCACCGCAGATACATGGGTCTCCATGTTCAGTGCCGAGTCTAGGAAGATCCCCAAACAGTGAGCCTGTGTCTTCAGGGGGAGTATGACCCCATCCACTACAGGCTGGATACCTATTCCTTGGCCTGCCTTCTGAATGACCAGGAGTACTCCTGTCTTGTCTGGATTAAATTTCAAATTGTTTACCCTCATCCAGTCCATTACTGATGGCAGACATTGGTTTGGGGTTAGGAGAGCTTCCTTGGCAATAGATGGAAAGGTGTAGTAGAGTTGGGTATCATCTGCATATGCAATATGGCACCGTACTCCAAAACTCCGGATGACCTCTCTCAGTGATTTCATGTATATGTTAAACAGCACAGGGGGATAAAATAGGCATAGAATAGAAATAGACAAATCCAGGTTTCCTGAGATTTTTAGGTTATATGTTGAATGAGAAAATCAAACTACAGCCTGCAATAGTCTAGGGCAGGGGTCCGCAAACGTTTTAAACAGGGCCAGGTCAGAGTCCCTCAAACTGTTGGAGGGCCGGATTATAATTTGAAAAAAAATATGAATGAATTCCCATGCACACTGCACATATTTTATTTGTAGTGCAAAAAACACTTAAAACAATACAATAATTAAAATGAAGAACAATTTTAACAAACATAAACTTATTAGTATTTCAGTGGGAAGTGTGGACCTGCTTTTGGCTGATGAGATAGGATTGTTGTTGTTGTTGTGTGCTTTCAAGTCATTTCAGACTTAGATTGACCCTGAGTGAGGGCCGGGTAAATGACCTTGGAGGGCCATATCCGGCCCCCAGGCCTTAGTTTGAGGACCCCTGGTCTAGGGGAAAATGTAAGCTATCCTTAGGAAAGACCTTAAATACTTTGAGCAGTTCCCTACATGTCTCATTCCCTTGCTATAAGGGGACCAACAAACATTGTCCATCTTTGGGGTGACTATCACATTTCAGAAGGGTGTTGGTGAGTAGCATTCCCATCTTTTTCATACAGTCTCAATCACCTAATCAATACCCTTCAAGATCTAAGTGCTGTATTCTATTACTAATCCAACTGGAATAAAATTCTAATTCAAACTAGACACATGTATTAACATTCTCTGCTAAAGTGCTCCTTTTTTCACTTCATTAACTTTTAATTCCCAAAGTCTACCCACAACATGCAATCTGAATGTTGCTATTCCCGCCCTCTTCCCACCAGGGACCATCCTTTGTCCATTGGCACATTCTGCTGTAACAATATCCACATGTTTTTGCTTTTAGCCATGCCGATATAGCTGTGCGAATCTTCCCCGAGGGAGTGAGTGCCGGTCAAACTGCCCACAAATAAGCCCTGTAAGATGATCCTGTCCAGAAAGTATTCTGTTAACACCTACGCTCCGAATAGCAAGCCATGTGAAAATACCACCTTTGTCTTTTCTGAAGGAGAGAAAAACTCCCCATAGAAAAGGTACAGCGGGGCTCTATATCAACTCCATGCAGCATGGTCAAAGTCTTTACAACATGCACTTTTATAGTGTCTGGCGGACCATGGGTTTCTGTACTCTGCTTTCAGGGCAATGGAGAAAAGGGGTTGAGCTAGAAAGCATCAAACCTTTTAAAGCTATGTAACGAAACCCATGAGTGAGTGAATACCATCTTGACGCACAGTCTTCTAGTCCTTCCAATTATGGTTAACATTATTGAACTCTGAAGCCACAACATACTTCCTTTCATAAAAGGAAAGTCTTCTGTCATCTTCAAGTACCTATTTATAAAAAGACTTCTAGTTGCTGTTAAGGCCCCTAACAAAATGACTTTACAGTACTGTTTGATGTGCCACAACTTTCAGGAACTTAAACTAGCAATTATAGCCTAAGTTACGATTGCAGTCTGATTTTTGGAAACCTCCCAGCTACCAATTGAACCAATTTCTCCCTCCATCAAAATCTGACTCATGAAAAAAGATAAATGTTTCCCCTTGACATTAAGTCTAGTTGTGTCCAACTCTGGGGGTGGCACTCATCTCCATTTCTAAGCCGAAGAGCAGGCGTTGTCTGTAGACACCTCCAAGGTTATGTGGCCAGCATGATTACATGGAGCGGCAGAAGCTGGGGCTAACAGAGGGAGCTCATGCTGCTCCTTGGATCTGAACCGCTGACCTTTTGGTCAGCAAGTTCGGTAGCTCAGCGGTTTAACCTGCTGCACCACTGGGGGTTCCATCGGGGCTCAAGAAAGAGCCAGTCTGGGTTGTTGTCGGTTTTTTGGGCTATATGACCATGTTCTAGATGCATTCTCTCCTGATGTTTTGCCTGCATCTATAGCAGGCATCCTCAGAGGTTGTGAGGTCTCACAAATGTTGAGGTCTATTTTCCCCAAGCCCCACCATTCACATTTGGGCCTATTGAGTATCCGTGCCAAGTTTGGTCCAGATTAATCACTGTTTGAGTCCACAGTGCTCTCTGGATGTAGGTGAACTACAACTCACAAACTCAAAGTCAATGTCCACCAAACCCTCCCAGTATTTTCTGTTGTCTATGGGAGTTCTGTGTGCCAAGTTGGGTTCAATTCCATCATTGGTGGAGTTCAGAATGCTCTTTGATTGTAGGTGAACTATAAATCCCAGCAACTACAACTCCCAAATGACAAAAATCAATCCCCCCCCCCCAACCCCACCAGTATTCAAATTGTTTGTGCCAAATTTGGTCCAGTGAATGAAAATACATCCTATATATCAGATTTTACATTACAATTCATAATACTAGCAAAATTACAGTTATGAAGTCGCAGCGAAAATAATGTTATGGTTGGGAGTCACCACAACATGAGGAACTGTACTAAGGGGTCTACCATTAGGAAGGTTGAGAAACACTGGTCTACACTCTCACACTCTCTTGCTGTCCTTAATGTAGTGTTGCTGTATTTTTGAAAATTAACTTCAGTTGTGTTTTTTTAAAATAACATTTTCTAGGAAAAAATCTAAATTGGTAAGAAATACTTATGTAAAAAACCCTGTCCTCTTCTTTGAAAAGAAGGTTGAGAAACCAAATCACTGCAGTGCAGTTAAAGAAAGGAAAGTTTGTGCCAGCCCTTGGCATGTGCTCAAGAGACTGCAGGGCTGCTGGGTCCTAATAGAAACTTAAGAGGAAGAAAGGACTTGTTAGAGCAGGCAAAACCTTTCACTTTTGGGAGAGCATCAGGACAGCTTTTATGAGTGGAGGAAAAAAGTTGATATTCCAACTCTAGGATTCTAAGCTGTGTGAGTACATCTGTTTATGTAGGTGTGTTTTGAATGAGGTCTATCATATCTATGACTGTATAGCCATCTATCTGGAAGGCTTTTGTAGTGTCTTCTTGTAGGCAGAAGAGGGTTAGACTGGATGGCCCCTTGGGTCCCTTCCAGCTCTAGGATTCTAAACTGTGTACGTGTGTGTGTTTATTGAATGATGTCTATCATATCTATGACTGTCTGGCTATCCACCTGGAAGGCTTTGGACACCCACTTTTGCATGGCAGAAGTGGGTTGGACTGGATGGTCCTTGTTGACTCTTACAGATCTATGATCTCTACTGTTTGTATGTGTGTGTGTGTGTGTGTGTGTGTGTATATATATATATATATATATATATATATATAGAGAGAGAGAGAGAGAGAGCACCTGTTATAACTATGACTGGCTGGCCATCTGTCTGAAAGGTCTTGATGGTGTCTTCTTGCATGGCAGAAGTGGGTTGGACTGAGTGGTCCTTATGATCTCTTCCAGATCTGTGACATCTATTGTGTGTATATGTGTAAAAAAATATTTTAAATGTCTGTCATATCTAGGCTAGCTGGCCATCTGCCTGGAAGTCTTTGGTGGTGTCTTCTTGCAGGGCAGAAGAGGGTTGGACTGGATGGCCCCTTGGGGTTCCTTCCAACTCTAGGATTCTAAATTGTGTGTGTGCATGTACTGAATGATGTCTATCATATCTATGATGGCCTGGCCATCTGCCTGGAAGGCTTTGAGGGTGTCTTCTTGTGTGGCAGAAGTGGGTTGGACTGGAGGGGCCTTGTGGTCTCTTACAGATCTATGATATCTATTGTGTGTGTGTGTGTATACGTGTGTGTATAGCCTGTCACAACTATGGCTGGCTGGTCATCTGTTTGGAAGGCTCTAATGGTGTCTTCTTGCAGGGCAGAAGAGGGTTGGACTGGATGGTCTTTGTGGTCTCTTACAGATCTATATCTATTGCTTGTGTGTGTGTGTGTATGTGTGTGTGTGTGTAGCCTGTCACAACTATGGCTGGCTGGTCATCTGTTTGGAAGGCTCTGATGGTGTCTTCTTGCAGGGTAGAAGAGGGTTGGACTGGATGGTCTTTGTGGTCTCTTACAGATCTATATCTATTGCTTGTGTGTGTGTGTATATATATATGTGTGTGTGTGTGTGTGTAGCCTGTAACAACTATGGCTGGCTGGTCATCTGTCTGGAAGGCTCTGATGGTGTCTTCTTGCATGGCAGAAGAGGGCTGGATTGGATGGTCCTTGTGGTCTCTTCCAAATCTATTATATCTATTGTGTGTACGTGTGTGTGTATACACACACACACACACACTATATATATATATACACGCACGCACACATACTCTCTCTCCTCCCCTCTCTCTATATACTGTATATAATATCTGTCATAACAATGGCTGTCTGGCCATCTGTCTGGAAGGCTTTGATGGTGTCTTCTTGCATGGCAGAAGTGGGTTGGGCTGGATGGTCCTTGTAGTCTCTTCCAAATCTATGATATCGATTGTGTGTGTGGGTGTGTATATATATATATAAAATGTCTGTCCTAACTATGGCTGTGGCCATCTGCCTGGAAGGCTTTGGTGGTGTCCAACATTGTGGGAGTTGAAGTCCAAAACAGCTGGGCTGGAGAGCGGCCTGGACTGGAGACTGGAGAAGGGCGGGCAGGCGTGCCCTGGGCTGCTGCTGCCTGTCCTCCTTCTTCGGGAGGGAGGAGCCTCGGGCGGCGCAGGCAGAGGGAGAAGCCGAGGGCGAGCGGCGATGGCCCAGGCCAAGAGCAGCGCCTCCAAAAGCCTCCTCGCTTCGGAGCTCGGAGAAGGGGGGGTGCCGCCACCTCGCCGGGGCCGCTTCTTCCGCTCCACTTCCATGGCCGACCGCTCCAGCCGCCTCCTGGAGAGCCTCGACCAGCTCGAGCTCAGGTCAGGCACCAGCCCAAGGGGAGGGAGCGCGCGCGCGGGTGAGCGGGCGGGCGGGCAAGCAAGAGGCGCGTGCACTGTGGACTAGGCGAAGGGAAGCCGCGCTGCAGGCCATCCCCAGAGTTTTCCTCTCCTGCCTCTCCAAAACACACAACTTCAATGACACCGCTTTGCACTGGGGTCTTGGAAGTTGTAGTTTGGAGACGCACCTGCACCCTTTGGCAGAGGAGGCTGAAGGCTTGTTTTTTTAAGACTACAATTCCTATGATTCCATAGCATTGAAACAGGGCAGGTCAAAGTGGTGCCTAGGTGCATTCAGGCTACAGGGTAGATCAGGCACGAGCAAACTTGGGCCCTCCCTCCAGGGGTTTTGGACTTCAACTCCCACCATTCCTAACAGCCTCAGGCCCTTTCCTTTATCTACTTTATCTCCTGTGCCTTTTTTGTTGCAGGTTGTGGGCCTATTTGGCCCAGCATAAACACAGAACCAGTCTTCCCCACAGTCTGTCTTCATTATTATTATTATTATTATTATTATTATTATTATTATTATTATTATTATTTACGACATTTATATGCCGCCCTTCTCACCCCAAAGGGGACTCAGAGCAGCTTACTATACACACACTACACACACTATATATATATATATAATATTATATTGTATATTATAATATTATATTGTATTGTATTGTTTTGTTGAAGGCCTTTATGGCCGAAATCACTGGGTGACCCTTCTGATAACCCCTCATGACCCCCCCCCCCAGGGTCCCAACCCACAGGTTGAGAAATGCTGCCATCCAGTCCAACTCCCTTCACCAGTGCAAGAAAACACAATCTAAGCCTTCCTGACAAAAAGCCATCCAGTCATATAGATATATAGATATGATTCACACACACACACATATGTATATGACAGATATAGTATCCTAGATTTGAAAGGGACCTCTAAAGAAGGACAATGATATGTTGCCTGTTTCAGAGTAGGCAAACCTGACAATCTCTACATCAACACTGACAAAGAAACAGCAAGAAATACTGTTTACCCACAAGCATAAAGAAATTACCTATATTAGAAACCAACACTTTCTCATTACTTTATTTTCCAGATCACCAGACTGGGCCACAGCAACGCGTGGCAGGGGACAGCTACTCTATATAAATAAAAATGTAATGTTTGTTTGTGAGATTAACATAACTCAAAGTCCACTGGATGAATTGCTGTCAAATTTGGCCACAAGACACCTTCTAACCCAAGAAGTGACCATCACTAAAAAAATGATTTTGTCATTTAGGAGTTGTATTTGATGGGATTTATAGTTAACCTACAATCAAAGGGCATTCTGAACCCCACCAATGATGGAATTCAAACAAATGTGGCACACAGGACTCCCATGACCAACATGGGCATTGATCTTGAGTTTGGGAGTTGTAGTTCACCTTCATCCAGAGAGCACTGTGGATTCACACAATGATCCAGACCAAATTTAGCACAAATATTTCATATGCCCAAATATGAACACATGGGGGAAATAGACCTTTACATTTGGGAATTGTAGTTGCTGGGATTTATAGTTCACCTACAATCAAATAGCAATCTGAACCCCACCAAATGACAGAATTGGGCCAAACTTCCCACACAGAACCCCCATGACCAACAGAAAATACTCAAATACTCAAGGCCATCCAGTCCAACTCCCTTCACGAGGGCAAAAAAACGTAATCAGAGCCCTCCTGACAAAGAGCCATCCAGCCATAGATGTAGATAGATATATATGATTCACACACACACACACACACTACTATAGTATCATAGATTGGAAAGGGACCCTAAACAAGGACAATTCTATGTTGCATGTTCCAGAGGAGGCAAACCAGGCAATCTCCAACACTGACAAAGAAACAACAAGAAATACTGTTTACCTACAAGCATAAAGAAATGACATAGATTAGAAACCAACGCTTTCTCGTTACTTTATTTTCCGGATCACCAGACCGGGCCAGAGCAATGTCTGGCAGGGAACGGCTAGTATCCATATCAAAAAAAAAGTAATGTTTCTGAGATTAACATAGCTCAAAAACCACTAGATGAGTTGACATCAAATTTGGACACAGTACACCTATCAGGCCATTGAGTGACCACCACTCCTAAAAACACTGAAAAACACAGCGGAAGGGACTTAAAATCCAAAAAACCAAAAAGACTCTACAACGCATGCACAAAAATTACTCTCCTGGTAAACAAAGCACACAAAAGCATATCCACACTCTCTTTCGGACTACAGCTCCCAGCATCCCCTAGACCAGGCCCTTTAGGAGAGGAGGATGATCCAAATGCACTACTTCCAGGATGCAAGCTTTCTTCTTGGATTTCTTTGAGAGCATCCCAGTCCCTGCATATTTCCAATTTCCTATTCCTGGACTGCAACTCCCAGCAACCCTCCCAGCTAGTTTTTTTTATATAGTAAACGAGGAACATGAACACAATAAAAGCACCCTCAGTACTAATTTTGCTCTAATTGGGAAGCTATGCTCGCTTTGCCATTAGTAATAGATATGCTATAAGGAGAGAGTTTCGTATTCGAAGTAGCCAAACCTGTCCCATAAATTACTACCTCTGTATTTTCCCAGACATGAAGGGAATGGAAAAGGTGTAGCAATTGAAATGCTGTGGTTGGCCTGTTCCATTTGGGACTGGAAGGGCTACAGCCCGGGTACTGATTTACCATCTGGACTGAGCACCAAATCATCTGAAGCAGGCATCCTCAAACTGCAGCCCTCCAACTGTTTTGGCCTTCAACTACCACCAGAATTCCTGACAATTAAACAAGCTCATTAGGGCTTCTGGGAGTTGGAGGCCCAAACAGCTGGAAGGCCGCAGTTTGAGGATACCTGATCTGGAGTTTTGGAGTTTGATGTCATCTGTACGCAGATGACATCCAACTCTACTACTCCTTCCCACCTGCTACTAAGGACACTGTTCCAGTCCTGAACCGGTGCTTGGAAGCTGTGATGGTCTGGATGAGGGCAAACAAATTGAAATTGCATCCAGACAAGACAGAGGTACTCCTGATCAGTTGAAAGGCCGTACAGGGGACAGGGTTATGGCCTGTGTTGGATGGGGTTACACTCCCCCTGAAGACACAGGTCCGCAGCTTGGGAGTGATCCTGGGTTCATCGCTGAGCCTGGAACCCCAGGTTTCGGCGGTGGCCAGGGGAGCATTCGCATAATTAAAACTTGTGCACCAGCTGCATCTGTATCTTGGGGAGTCTGACTTGGCCACAGTGATCCACACTCTGGTTACATCCCATATAGATTACTGCAACGCGCTGTATGTGGGGTTGCCTTTAAAGACTGTTCAGTTGGTCCAGCGGGCGGCAGCCAGGTTGCTCACCGGAGCGGCATACAGGGAGCATACAACCCCCCTGTTGTATGCTCCACTGGCTGCCAATCTGCTACTGAGCACAATTCAAAGTGCTGGCTTTAGCCTATAAATCTCTAAATGGTTCTGGCCCAGCTTACCTGTCCATACGTATCTTCCCCTAGGAACCATCGGAGCTTAAGATCATCTGGGGAGGCCCTGCTCTCGGTATTGCCTTCTTCACAGGCGTGCCTGGTGGGGATGAAAGACAGGGCCTTCTCAGTGGTGGCCCCTTGACTGCGGAATTCCCTTCCCAGGGATATCAGATCAGTCCCGTCTCTCCTGACCTTCCGTAAAAGTAAAAACATGGCTCTTTGATCAAGCCTTTGCAGAATCTATACAATAGATAAATACAGAATTTTGTGCATGGACTATTGGAATGGTCCGGATTACAAGTATGAATAGCATGGTTTAACAGTGATTATATTGGTTAATCAAATTGCTGCATATGTTGTAAAGCTGCCTTGAGTCCTCTCTGAGGTGGAGAAAGGTGGGGTAGAAATAGCGTATATAGATAAATAAATAAATACATCTGGTGGAGTAACATCTGAAGAGCCAAACCCTTTAGGACTAGGTACAGTCAGACCTCCACATTTGCTGGGGGAAGGGGCACAGGGCTCCTGTGAAAGTAAACAAAGTAAAAAAAAGTGAATAAAGAAATTGCTATATTTTTAACCTTGGAGAACCTCTCAAGGAATTCCTGTCTTCCAACACAACTCAAAAGCCAACTTCCTCTCAGAGCTAACCACAACATTTGTTGTTGTTTATTTGTTCAGTTGCTTCCTACTCTTCGTGACCTCATGGACCAGCCCACGCCAGAGCTCCCTGTCAGCTGTCACCACCCCCAGCTCTTTCAAGGTCAAGCCAGTCACTTCAAGGATACCATCCATCCATCTTGCCCTTGGTCGGCCCCTCTTCCTTTTTCCTTCGCCTTTCCCAGCGTAATTGTCTTCTCCAAGCTTTCTTGTGTTCTCATAATGTTGCTAAAGTACTTCATCTTCACCTCTAAAATCCTTCCCTCCAATGAGCAGTCGGGCTTTATTTCCTGAAGTATGGACTGGTTGGATCTTCTGGCGGTCCAACACACCCTCAGAACTTTCCTCCAACCCCACAGTTCAAAAGCATCTATCTTCCTTCGCTCAGCTTTCCTTGTGGCCCAGCTCTCACACCCATAGGTTACTACAGGGAATACCATTGCTTTAACTATGCGGATCTTCGTTGCCAGTGTGATGTCTCTACTCTTCACTATTTTATCGAGATTGGTCCTTGCTCTCCTCCCAAGAAGTAAACGTCTCCTGATTTCCTGGCTGCAGTCTGCGTCTGCAGTAGTCTTTGCGCCTAGAAATACAAAGTCTAGCACTGCCTCCAAATTTTCTCCCTCTATTTGCCAGTTATCAATCAGTCTGGTTGCCGTAATCTTGGTTTTTTTCATGTTTAACTGCAACCCAGCTTTTGCACTTTCTTCTTTTACCTTGATTAGAAGGCTACTCAGCTCCTCCTTGCTTTCGGCCATCAAAGTGGTATTATCTGCATATCTAATGTTAATGTTTCTTCCAGCAGTTTTAACTCCAGCCTTGCATT